GAAGAGGTTGTTTCCTGGGCACTTGTACACCTGTCTTTTTTGCAGCGGCGCCTTGGTAGTAGTAGTTATCTGCCCCATATTTATCTCCATGAAAGGGCAATGCGGTAGCCTAAAGGTTAAAATGAACGTTGGTCATGCTAAAGATCGAATCTCTACGTTGGTCCAGTTTGTGTCGCCTATTTCTGATGAGACACACAGTTTCAGGTCAGTGATGATTGGGGCTTTTTCTTCTTCATGTAAAGTGAAACACTGTTCAAAGTGGTCTTTACACGTGACCTCAGGCTCAGTGGTACATATGTGTTTGTGTTTGGAGGCCCTCTAAACGATCTTTAAGGCTAGGGCTGTGGTAAGCGTATGGTATGGTATGGGGTACATAGGCTCAGTGGTACATATGTGTTGGTACAGTGAGGGCCCTCTAAACGATCTTAAGGCTAGGGCTGTGGCAAGCGTATGGTATGGGGTCAGGCTCAGTGGCACATATGTGTTTGTGAGGGCCCTCTAAACGATCTTGAGGCTAGGGCTGTGGTAAGCGTATGGTATGGGGTCAGGCTCAGTGGTACATATGTGTTTGTGAGGGCCCTCTAAACGATCTTAAAGCTAGGGCTGTGGTAAGCGTATGGTATGGGGTCAGATTGGAACCAATTGGCATATCTCTTTGTGGAGAGGGGGCCAGTTATTTTTAGTTTTATATTGCAGCATACATGCATGTATGGATCCCTGGCAAGCATCCAGTTCATACAAAGGCCAGTCTAGTCAGCTACTGATTGTACACACGTGTGTCAAACTAATGGCTTTGATGACAACATTCGTGTTGCAGTCATATATTAATATATTAAATCGACATGACAGACTATTACCTGTCACGACAGACCTGCATATATAGTGTGAATAATTTGTCCAGGTGTCCTGTACACCATTGGCGTCTTATCAGCTAGTTGTTTGTGTGGCCTTGCTAATTATTTAGAAATCACTGTAGAGGCATTAGATTGGGACTGTCACCCATGTGTCTTTTGGTATCAAATATATTAAAGGAAATATGAACATTTAAAAACTCATTATTGACGAGTGAGGATTGTATTTCTCACCCAAATTTATTTTACAACTTCTACATATACTTTTGGTAACGACAACAAAAACAGTCTCTGAGTGCGTAACTTTCAGTTAAACTGCTTCTATAGCAGAGAATTAGTGATGTTGATGGTGACTTCGTTTGTAACTGGTAACGTCACTATCGTGATCAATTTCGAGTAGCGACATCAAACGTATATGACACATGCATTCGTTAGTACCACTATTATAATGTCACGTTGACACTGGCTGTTTTTACATAGTGTACATAACCACACTTCCTCTCCTTTAATCTAAGCTGTACTCCACTTTTACACAACGAATATTTCATGAGGCGGTGTTAGATCCCATAGTTTTGCTATGGACAAAGTGGTAGTAACCAATTTACTTTCGAAAAGGCCATTAGACATATCGGTGACTGAAAAGATGGGATGTTGAGTTCAGGGTGTTGTTGAGGCTTTTCAAAACAAAGTCCGTTAAAACACCTACTGGCGATGGAAACATTTGACTAAAATTCACTGTTCGTTAGATATTCTACAAAACGTGGGTTGTGAAACACGTTCAGCTTCTCCCTTCAGAAAACATCGTAATGCTCTAAAATGGTTACCCAAGCAGTTTTCTGTTTCTAACAAATCTCCCATCCCAGCATTACCCCAGAGTAGTATCGTCAGTAAGAGGATGTATATGTACCTACCCTTCACCAGGGCAGATATTTCCTAATGACTGCCATCATGAAATTTCTCAAACGTTACTACAGCACCGATGTGACCCGAGAAGGTGAAGTGACACGTCCTACTCGTACGGATAGACTGTGCGTACGGATAGACTGAGCGTACGGGTAGACTGAGCGTACGGATATAATGTGCGTACGGGTAGACTGAGCGTACTGATAGACTGAGCGTAACGGATGGAGCTTCGGGCGTACCGGGTGCTGTACGGGAAGACTGAGCGTACGGATAGTACGGGTAAGCTCAACGATTTCTAATATATACAAAGTTAGCCTCTTCTTTGTCCGCTGCGGACGTTCTCAGGACCCCTGGCCGTATGGCGACTTTCCGTTTTGATCCTACAGGTAAGAATTTACTCGCAGAGGTTGTTTCCTGGGCACTCCCGCACACCTGTCTTTTTTGCAGTGGAGCCTTGGTGTAGTATGCCCCATGTTTGGCGGGAATCGGTTTCGGCATTACGACGTCATTGCCGTCATCGCCGAACAGATCGTCGATCATGGATGGGGCCGCTGTGCTTGTCTTTAGCCTTTAGCTTCCAATCGACCGAACGTTATCTGCATCCAGCGACCGGCACATGCTCTTCTTTAGATGTGTCCATTTCAGATTCTAATCTATTCAATGAATTTGAATGGGAAGTTCACAATGACCTTTGTTGAAGTGACCACTTCCCAACTATTCTTTCAGCAAATAACTTCATCTGATACTCCATCGTGTACAAGGTGGAATTTGTCGAAGGCTAACTGGTCCTTATATCACACTATATGTAAATCGAAACTACGACCTGAATGTTTTCAGTTGATATAACTGATCCCATTCAGACCTTTTCTGACGTTTTGAATGAAATAGCTGATGAGATGTATACCAAAGTCTCTACGACTCCATGTATGGAAACCGTGGTTTAATACTGGATTGTAGGCAAAGCCAGAAAAGCGAGGAAAAAGGCAGAAAATTATTCCGCCATCACCCCAACTGTGCGCATAACTTAAATAAATATACAATACTCAATGCAAAGGTTCGTCGTACCTTCCAAACAAAACAAACGGCAAAAAATTAATTCACGCACGCCCATGTCCAATGTATGGAACATGGTTCAAAGAATTAAAGGCAAAGGTTCAAAATCTGCTGTTCACCATCACCAAAGATGGTGATAAGTTAATTACTGACAAATCTAAAATTGCAAATAAAAATGGCGAAACTCTTGCCCCAAAATTCATCATCGGCAAATTCAGGTCCCTGCGTTTCAGAGATAGCAGAAACAACTAGGAAAAGACTAAACTTAATTTCGAATCAAATAACGGTGAGGATTATATGAAGTGTTTTCATTACATGAGCTACATATTGCTCTTAGGCAGAAGCTCATGACACTGCAGTGGGTGATGATAATATTCATTACCAGCTACTGAAACACTTTACCTGAACCATGTCTGATGACACTTTTTTAGATATATTTGATCAAATATGGACGTTTGAAATTTCCTCCTTCATGGAGTAATGCCATTGTAGTCCCAATACCAAAACCTGGCAGGGATCATACAGATCCGTCGAATTACAGACCGATCTCTCTAACTAGCTGTGTCTGTAAAACCATGGAATGTATGGTGAATAATAGATTAACTTGGTATCTTGAAACCAATAACCTTATAACAAATACTCAATGTGGTTTCAGGAAAAATCGTAGTACCATTGATCATTTGGTACGTTTTCCTTTGTGAAAAATGCTATAGTGAAATAAACAACATGCAAGTATCGATATTCTTTGATCTCCGAGAAAGCATACGATACCACCTGGAAGCATGGCATTTTTGAAGGATTTACATGATTTTGGTTTAAGGGGTCGTTTACCTCTTTTTATATCACAATTTAACCGACAGGCAATTTCAAGTCCGAGTGGGTTCTACCCTGTCTGACCATTATAATCAGGATCAAGGTGTCCCACAAGGCAGTATTTTGTCTGTAACATTGTTTAGTATTAAGGTCAACAGTTTATCCAAGGTTTTAAATGATTCAATGATGGATAACATTTTTGTGGATGATTTTAACATTTCTTGTCGCGGTTAGAATATGCACACTATTGAACGGCAACTACAGTTGTGTTTTAAAACAAAAATAAATAAATGGTGTCTTGAAAACGGCTTAAAATTTCCTAAATCGAAAACTAATTGCATACATTTCTGACGTAAATATAAACCACATAAAGACCCAGAACTGTTTTTAAATGGCACTCCCATCAAGTTTGTAAAGGAGGCACATCCCTCCCCTTGTGTTGATCTGTGTGGTAGACACATCCAGCACGATTCATGTGGAGCTGGTCTCTGTGCCCGAGGAGCATGTCTGTAGTCCTTGGCAGAAAGTAAAAAGTCATCAATGATATATATATACACTATCTGAAGCACATCAGCAGGATTTGAGTGGATCTGGTGTCTGTGCCGAGGATCATGTCTGTAGCCCTTGTAGAGTAGGAAACCCACTCGCCATAACCTACACAGCGTTATAACGACTTAAATAAAACGAACAACAATTTAACATGGCTATCGATATAGATCATGGAGATCGATAATCAGTTACTACCTATCGCTCGATTATCGATAAATATCGGGGAGACGTAACTTCAAGCAAAATTGCCAAAAATGTCTGAAAGAAATGAATATAATTTCACATCACTGGTGAGTTGTGACATGTTTTTGCATGGATTAGTAACAAAACAGTGTTCTCAACATTTATAAAACTAGACCATGAATGAAGTCCTTTATGTGTAAAAGATGTGATAAGATTTAAACTGTATTTCTATCTCAAAAATTAATGTACGATATTATCGATAACATAATTTTCATATCGATACTCATTAATATTTTTTCCCATCGTCGATAATTACGATTATCGATGATTCCAACCGGACCTAATGTAAATTGTAGTTCTTAGTATCATGTTCTCTGACCAAACAAGACGAAGGCTTCATAAGTGTTTCGGTATCCGTAACGTGTGTGAAAAGGTGTATACCTGTTATAGGTCTTTATTGACAACTATATACTCACATGCTTTATAGATAGAGGACACATATACACTCCCAATGCATGAGTGATATACGCACAAGAGCAGTAAATAAAGATTTAAACGACAAATGTCGGTAACTGACATGCAAATGTCACTGTTTAACGGTGCGTCCATTACACAGGTTATGAGCAACATGTACATTTAAAGTCTCACCTGAGATGACTGCCGGTAGCGTGAGGACAGCCACATTTAACAAGACGTCCATTATCTAAATTTAGGTGTGCTCCTCCTTCGGTAACTATACAGGATATCTCTGTACGTGTCAGCTCACATGAGAAGAGTACGTGTTATGAAACTTTGTTATTCGACACTGTATAGTTGCCTTTGAATCGATCGGGCCAGCAGTTTGGAGGTTATGGACTACAGAATACGAGTATTCGTTATACGTTTTAGAAGGCTGTATTTCCAGACTAGATGTGGTCCAGAAATCATCTAGGTTTTAGTGTAACATTTGTCTTCTGAAGGGATGTTGAGAAGTCATGATTTGTGTATTTAGGTAATGATAGATAATCAGCGTGTATTTTGATATAATAAATAAACCATCAGAAAGGTTTACATGAAGTTCATTTGTTTGCGCTTTAAAACCCAGATATACATATATTCCATTTCAATGTCAAATGTGCAAACTTTGCCGATGTGACGTTAAATAATAACTCACTCTCACTTAAACCCAGATCAGCCAATCTTTCCAGCAATGTCGACGGTTAGAAAAGACGATTAACCGGACAAGAAATCCAGTGATAATTATGAGCATCGATCTGCATTTTATTTTTCACTTGGATACCATGATATGCACTAACCATTGAGTTAATGACTCAAACCACACGATCAAATCGGTAGTCTCTTACAACAAGCATGTGTTTTTCAAGACCATTTCTAACCCAGATCGTCATGCGTAACGAGAAAAATGAAGACAACTGTTTATTGTTAAACTATAAACATCCTGAATTCACAGTTCTGAAATATATTAACCAATGGATCTGCTTGTCCAGAAGCAATACGTGAAAAAAGCTTAC